TTTTTGTTTTAWGTTTTAATTCTGCAATCGTATTGAAATATCTATTTCTCATTTGATTCACAACTTCACGACTAGGTCAGTATCATTTCCGTGCAATGGAGTACATGTATAATATTTTTCTTTTAATTTTAGAATCAAATACGTAAAATATGTGATAGACGTGAAGAGGAGGGACATATTGCGGTGAAGGTACGTACGCATGCGCAATGACCACCTCATAGTCTCCTAGTCTCATTTTTCAAATAGCGCCTGCTTTTGCTAAATATCATTTTTCATGCGAAAAATCATATACCATGAATACATTAACTTCCCTTTACAACCWGCTCACCAATTGGTTCACAATCTTTTTTCACAATATTTGTAAAAAAACACAGCATCATCATCAAGGCCCACGAGAACCTCTAACATTTTATACTTATTTCTTCCCATGTTGACTGTTTTTCTTATATTTTATGTTCAGATCGCAGATATTCGCGCCATCATTGGAGACTCMAATGCTAACACACCAACCAGTAACGCAAGAAGTGGTGCAACCCAACCACAAGAACGACGAAATGAAAGCTCTGCATGTGCAATCCTATAATACTAAATCGAATTAGACTAGCGCTTGATAAAGTGCATTCGACATATACGTGAAACAGATTGTTTGAAAACACCAAAAATTTTCCAAATTTGTACAAAATCGTTTGTCCGTTGTTTAAGTAGTGAAATTCTCCGTACATTGTCTTCCAAAGTGTTTCACGGATATTGCGGGATTGTCCTTCATAACACTTGCGTATACTTGATTCTAGGTGGCTACGCTATAACTCATGTCAGGGATAGCACTTTCACTTAAGAGAGCCCGAGGAGCCCCGGAGGTAGCCGAGGAAGCTCTTTTGGTTTTTAGTCACCCTGAATAATTGAACTCTGAGTTATCCCTACTGCTTAGAGGCACACTTTCTATTGTGAATGGCTTGGAGAGCCACCGATAACTTACTGGAAAGAAATATATGCGATATGATAGCAGGGTCTTATAGCGTATCGTTTAGCTTCGAGAAAATCGCAAATTCCTCATACAGATATGATAGGATTTTTTGATAATGTGTGGAAACTTGATTTCGAGCAAAAATATAATCTCAATTGTTCCAATTTGAATGGTTGGTACCTCTGCAGGAAGGGTTGTTCCAAACTCGGCGTAACATTTTAACAACTATTTATTACATAAATATTTATTTATTCYTTGGTTCACTTCCCATAAACCCCTTCTAGTGATGCGACCGCKATTTTGAATTTTGGAACTGTTGCTTATGTACAAATTCTATTTTTGTTGGTACTTAAAATACGGTATTATCAATTTCCATTGAATTTTCGCTTGAATGGCAGAACAGATGAAAATTCTAGTTTATTTTTCATTCATTTTTCTTCTACTATAACCAGTATACAAACCTTTATGTTGTATTCCGGTCTTTGTACGTACTTACAATGGCCAACCTTTATGACGTATCTGTACACTGATAGAAACAAATAAGTAACTACTAACATTGTCACATGATACAGGAAATACACTTTCCAATAAAAACCGCTATTTCACACAAGAAACTATTCAATTTTATTAGAGAGTTTTAGATTCACGTTTACTGCAAACGCCAAACGTCAAATTGGCTTTTATGCTTTGTCTCAAAATTTCAAACACTTAAACGTAAAAACGCTTCGAAAGGGATAGTGAAACGCTTATGTACGAAAAAGTGATCCATTTTATACACAATCGCGAAAGAACGGAGCGTTAATTAAAAAAAAACAGTGATCACGTGATCAATTTTGCTGTAAACGCGTATCTAAAACTCCCTATTGACCTAGCATTGCCGGCAAATAAGTGGGCCAAGTCAAACTGATGAAAGACGACAGTATTTAAGACCGTTTCGGTCTACGGCTACTGGTGTGTGGGCACTGCCGTTTTTCCACTGTGGTAGTGTCATTATCTGTATATCCGGTAATCTACCTGTTTCCCTCCGGTTTAAGAGGTATTTTACCCGTATTTACGTGTTCGGGTATAGGGTGATCTTTTAGGGGTAAAAATCTTTCGTTGCCACGCCCATTTTTGCGAGACTTTATAATATCCTTTGTGGTGTTGTTGTTGTTGTTTTTTTTTTAATGTCGACCTTCGTCCTATCATAAATGGTGGTTAATTCCCTTCCAACCATACCACTTTGGTTACCTTAGATTTAATGGTTCGCTATAAGAGACCTTTTAAAATAGACCCCTTAATCGCGTACGGGCCCACTAAAAATGAACAAATGTGCAAATAATTGGATATAATAAAACCATCAACGTCAATTTCAAAGTTGTCATTGATTTGGTTGTTGTTATCTTAATATATACCCAAAAATATAGAACACTGATTTCAGCTATATTGGTACAATTTAAAGCATTTTAAAATACGAAATCCCTGAMGTTTACCTTCAAAAATACGACGATCTTTCCGTCACAAGAGGCATCAACAACGTATTTATTCTGTAAGTTCTTTTACCTTTGTCACCGCGATATCTTCAGTATTACATACCTGAAAAAGCACGTATAGCCTTACAGTCTTTTAAATTTATRARTAAATAATCTACMASGCAGGTCACACAAACTAAAACTAACGAGAAATGTCGGATTCACCCAAAACGACTTCAGATTTTTTAWATCAGACAAAAAGAGAACATAAAACGACTTCAATTACCGCATATTCAATTACGAAAACAAAAGCAATTTCAAATGGCGCTTTATAGAATCCATGGCGGACTTCAAACTGCAATAACASCCAACACCATCAAAAAGTAGTCAAACGGTAGAATATTTGGTCGCCCTATTAACGTCTTGATATAGTGCCGTTTAATCCAACATTTAATTGTTTTGGTTTTCATACAAGTTTCTTTCAGACTGACTGCTCGAAAAATCTGTCAAATCCAACAACTAATTGCCCGCCAATTACTTAACACCCTAAGTTCTTTTGTCCGTTCAAAGAAAGTTATTCAATTAGCAAACGTTTCCCTTTTAAACGGCGCACAGGTCAGTCGGTAAACCTTTTTTGAGACGAAAGTTAATAGAAAGTTATATAATGCTTGGAAAGGAGGTAATTCCAAGGGATTTGAGTTGGTTGTAGTTCAGTTCGTCTAGCACATTATAACGCTTTTGTTTGTACATATTAGACAGTCTTTATTTCATTAGCGAATATTCCTTTGAGAGCAATATGTTACGTACTGTTAGAGTAGTCCCAGCCTCTTGTTTCTTTTTTGTTATTTTGAATGTTCAATTAACGCTAGCAAATTAGCAAACTTGTGTGCTTTGTAAGGCACTACCTAGCCTTCATCAAATCATGTGTTATGAAAAAAACTATACGTTTTCAAGGTTCGTGCTCATTCTTCCAGGACTTTTTCGCAGTTTCCAAAACACAACAACTGAGCCCCATGTTAAACTGAGTTGTAAACATAAGATGCATGTCTTCAAGGTATTCCCAAGACCATGGACAAAATTCCACGTTTTTCCAGTCAGGGAAAATGAAATTATGAAATTTCTATGACTTTCCAGGTTTTTCAGGGTCAGTTAGAACGATGCACAACGAATTTATAATCAGATTAGAGAACAACAACAACAACAAAAAAGGAACAGAACACATCAACACATCAACAAAACAACATTCGTACCACTCGATAAAAAAAGTCTTAAATCTATAGTTTTATCAAAATTATTAAAAAAAAACAAAAAAAACAACTACTATGGACTTTCTTCACGTTTTTTGTTATAGTACACAATAGTAATTTTGACCAGATAATAGTYCCTGGAAAACGTTGTTTTGTAGCAAGTTATTGTTCGAAACTTTATTGTGAAACAAATGTGTCAGTTGTGTAACTTTTGATACAAAACGTCACGGTTCCACGTGACCTTTTCTGTCGTGACTCGACTCATTGTCGTAATATTATTGTATCGTTGATAGAGGGCCTTTTACAGCAGAACACGTGGGATATCTGTTGTGACATCAAAGGTCAGTCGGCATGCAGCTGTTTTGCTAAGTAATAAGATGTCTTTTTGACTTTTACAATCTTTTTTAAAGAAGTAATTGGATTTAACAGTTTTGAGGTGGGGCGACGCGTGGATTAGAGTCGCAGGTCCTGTACAGAAATTCAACAATTGGTAACCCGTAGTTTTGTACCGAAATCATTTTGAACAGAAACATATATGATAAATAGAAATCTTATAGTAACAGGAAAAAGGAAGACGTTTTTTAAGATGTGCGCATACAGATTCACAGCTAAATTTCATTTAAAGAGAGCCATGACTATTCTTCATGAAGTTTAAAGGTTGTTCTCTAAGGTATGCTTGCTATGTTTGCCATTGGCCCTGTGGAGGACCGTCATTTAGTCAATAATAATGGTATTAGGCTGCACATGCTTTTTCAATTTTCACACTATATACAAAAAGCAATATCATGTTTAACACTTTGTTCAATTTGTACAATGCAGCTTTTCAAATACACGTAGAATTCCCAGGAGGGATTGTTTTTAATAGCTGAGCCGCAAAGTCTTCAGTTTCATGTAATTTGCGTAGCTTTTCATATTTAAAATTAAAGGAACGTTTAATTTTTAATCACATAAAACTAATGCTACTTATACTAAAATATATTGGAAATATTTGCTTAATCATAAAATGTTATACAAATTTCGAAGAAAATTTGAGTATTCTTCTTTTCTACCATAGAAATAAGTACTAGACAGATGTTAATAATTTTTGGAAACATAGTTACTAAAAGAAAAACTGAACTCTTTGGTGTATTTTATTTTACTAAATTTTTTTCAACTATCTTGATTTGTTTCAAGACTTTTAGTAAGGGAAGCATTAAGAAGTCACATTTAAAAAAGTGAATGAAACTCGTTTTGTTGCTTATATAAATTATATCTAAACATATAAGCGGCTATTTTGCATTGAAATCTAACTGTTACATGACYYGAGACGGTTGGCTGAGTCAGWGCAATGAGYATTTTTATCTATTTTTAAAGAATTTGAAATAAACTTGTTTTCATTGGCTGCTGAAGGTTTGTTCTCCTTTCAACAGCTTATTCATCATACACCTATAACTGAATATAACTCTACTTTATCATAAAATTATCTAATATGCAATACATATATTTCTCTCTTTCGAAAAGTTGTTACATTTACAGTGAAAATAACATATTGGCGAGGTTTCTCTATATATGGGAAGTGAAAAAACGTATTTTACGACATAAATTGTATTGCTTTCATATATAATTATATGATAAACAGAATATTACAAGGTCGCTTGGAAACACCAATTTCATCTTCTTGTGTTGATCTTTTCAAAGCTCGAAGATAAAATCCGTATCTCCGCACGCACTTGTATTATCCTCTATATATTCAAGTTTTTGTAAATAAATCCACTAACACTCAAGGGGATTTTGTATATTATCAATAATACCTATTTCTATCCTTCATATACATCAAAATTCTGTATTTTAGTTTGAGATTTGCAAGTCAGTTATAAAAACTATATCCTCAGGAACCAAGGGGTAAACTCTGTCATTCGTTCCTCACTCCCAGAAAAGTGATTGAGGAACGAACGACAGAAGATTACCCCTGGGTTCCCGAGCATGTAAAAACTATCAATGTAGCTAACTACCCAGTATCAAAKCGGTAAACGCCCTATGATGTTAAAGTTTAGTAAACGTCGAATTAATAACTACCAGTTCAAGAAAGCATGCCTTGAGCTGTCTTACATTCTCCATCCCAACCAAATATTTCACAMTGATTGTATGGGATAAATCGTCCAACAGCTCTTATCGAGGAAATAACGCGAATCATCACTTTTTTATTGTCTTTTGAAAACTACATTCAAAAATGTTATGTTTTTGCGAGAGTATTTTTGGTTTTATTGAAGGATATTTTGAGGTATATTGCCGTGTAGCTGCTCAGAGAATTTACGTACACAACGCCTGAACTCACACATTTTCAATAGTTGTTTTCTTAAAATTGTAATTATGACGCAATTCGTATCATGGTCAGCACGCTCAAACCTTGTCTTTCAAGATAGATCTTGCCTGTTTTCCCTAGGAAATAAACTTGATTTTCTTATTTGTTTTGTGCATTTTACGTTAAATATCGATTAATTGTGTCATTCCTTTGTCAGAGTTTAATAAAATAAGAGAGAATCTGTAGTTGGTATTTGTTAAAAACGAACAAAAGAAAATAAGTTGAATAATAATGAATTCAGAGAAGTCAGGATTTTCTCCTAAATATTGGTCTCACYGTAAAAAGAAAACAATCCCACTGAGAAATAGAGGTGTTTGGTTGTATTCCATCAAAAAAATGGTAATTGAATTGCTGCATCATTTTGAATCATCGTAAAAGTGCAACTTGTCTAACGCGTTGAGACACAAATTGCTGACGAATTACACATTGCAACACGTGTCGTCTCGCAAACGTACTGAAGCAGCTTACATAGCCGTTGCAGTGAGTCTATTAACCCTTTATCAATGCTTCCCGCAATTTCCGAGTCAAATACGCCTTTAGAGCATGCGTAGTTTCTCATTTTGAATGTCCGCCATGTTGATTCTACAATCAGCATACCTTGGCAAAATAAACATTMCATGTTGCTGGGGAAAATTGAACAGTGTAATAGGGCTTTAATTGTCAAGTCAACTTGAATTTTTGTCTTTTCTGAGAACTGAGGGCAGAGCATATGCTAAATATTTKTTCCGGAATGACTCCGGGAAGAAAGATTACAAACAGAAAATGAGTCTTACAAAGGTTTTTCCTGTAGTTTTGACGATAAAGGTGTACTGTCGAGTTCTTTGTTTAGAAAATGTACGAAAAAATACCGAAGGATTTTACCGGAAATAGCGTAGTGAAGTATTTAGCATACGCTGCGCCCCCAAGTCGCAGAAAATGGACTATTGAAGTCGCAATGTAGTGATTTCTGCTGTAACTTCTTGATCAACATTACACTTTTTGAATTGAAAAGATGAAAAGGTGTGGCTAGTTTCGGGAAAATGTKAACCACAAAATGGACGGAATATGCCACATAGAAAGATATATAATTCAATCATATGCTTTATATCAATTCACTTTTGTTTTTTGTTAAAAGAAACTTGATATTTTACTTTTTAATAAAAGTATCCTTATATGTTAAAAACTATTCATAAAATACAAAAACTGCTATGGAAAAGATCACTCTGAAGTTGTCCATCTCTGTGAATGTCTCAAAATCTTGGTTTGTGAAGGAGGACCATTCGAAATGGTCGAGTTTTATGAATGTAATCATGTATATATAACCTGAGAAACAATTTGTGTTATTGTATTGGTGACAAAGATTCATCCCTGCACAGTTAATCACAACTAAATTTAATTAATTCCATACAATTTTCAGTTTAAACTTTGTAGTTCAAATGCGAAATGAGAAACACAATTTGCATTGTTCCTGACCAAGCTCTCTCTTGGAGTTCTGTTTRATTCTGATTACYAATTTCGTTTAAAAATTGAATTTGTACAATAACAAATGATCAAAAG